CTCCAGTTATTCCAGTAACATTCTGTGTGCTGCTAACCTTGAGAAACCATCACACTGTTTTAACACTAAAAGAGACAAAGTTGTAGCTTCATCTCTTGTCTATGCTGTCTGGTCATTTCTTTCAGACGCACGCAGCAGCACTTTGATGGTCTGCTCATCTGTTCAGCATCAAACAGCTTTAGAGGGTAGGGTTGGTGATCTTTCCCAGCAGCAGGATGGATTCGTAACGCTCCTCTATAACGGCGAACAAGAACGGTCTGTTGATGGACAGCCTCAGAGCGGCGCCTGCCTCTGTAGTCCTGGCCTGAGGTTCTGCTGCTTCCCCGGACATCTCAAACATCACGTTGTTCATGGCCTGACAGAAGAAAAAAAATAAAAAGCTGTTAATGACACAATCGATTCAGAGGTTGTTTTTTTTTTTAAGTGACCACAAGATCAGTTCATCTGGTTTGCCTTGTCTGTGGAGAAAGGGCTGGTGTTGCTGAGCCGGCTGAACTCGGCCTGGGAGCCCAAGAGCGTGAGCCCAAGAGTGCGATTCATGGTGGTCAGCAGGTCGTGGATGTCAATCAGAGAAGACAGGGAGAACTTAGGGAGGGACAGCTCCAACAAACTGAGAACCAAAAAGGAGAAAAATTGAAATGCCTAAAACCAAAATGGGAATCTTCTTATTCTTTCTGTATCATCCAGAAAATGTTTTCTGTTTGACACACTGAGGCTAAGTATGCTCTACATGTTTACATGACAAACGGCACAATTACATGTCATTACATTGTCATTGTCATTGTCATTGGAAATGGAAAGGACTGGTGAAAATAGAATATTTGTTTACATTTATATTCCAAATATTGTGAACTGCTGATGTGTGTGGCAGAAATATTTCCAGTCTGTCCGATTGACTGTGGAGGGATTAATTGATAACTCTCATTACGAAAACCTTCTCTCACCCTTCCTGGAGGTTCTTGTGCCAGCCTCCCATCAGGTTGGTGAGCAGTTTGTTCTCTGTGTGACCGAGAGTCGTTCCTTCGTGAGGAAGAATGAGCAATATGTGGGTCTGTTTACTGAGAGGCAGCTTCACGACAGTGCACCTATTCACCTTCAATAAAACAAGCAACAGAGGAGTCAAAATCTGATCTGATGTACTACTGGGCCATGGATGTAAGGAAAGAAACAATAGAAGAAAGCTTTACCTTGTCATTCATGTAGTGGTAGTTATTAGTGCGTGTCATTGTTGAAGTCGTTACTTTTGTTGTTTCGTCCACATGAAACTCTTCCATGGAGATCTTATCTGGTTGGAAAGCTGTCATCCAGTCGCCTAAACAGAGACAAGCAGAGAGCAAAGTCAGGCTTGATTCTTCAGTTGTTCCTGTCATTGATTCGGTAAGCCAGAGCTCATGCCTTTGAAGCTGAAGGATGAGATGAAGAGAAAGTTGTTGCTTGGGTTCAGGTCTTTGAAGACATTCGTCACTTTCCCGTGCGACGTTTTCTCCACAAAGCTGTTCACCAGAGTTTCCGCCTCCTCATGCTTCGAGAAGTCCACGCCTCGGATAAACGATTTGTCTGAGAAGTCTTGTGTTCCCTGAATAAAGTCTCTACATAGCTGAGCGTCGCTTCGTACAAAGGCCCAGACCAGACTGGTGATTTCATATCTAGACCCATTGTCCACCAGAGAGTTAATGTCTTGCAGTGTACTGAGGATCTTATGTCCGTCTACTAAAGATACACAGTCCTCTCTGTCGGTACCGCTACTAAGGCCTAGAAACTCCTAGAATAAAAACAAAAGATTATGAGCAAAGGATGAACATTTGGGATGGCAGGGGCATTAAGTTACGCTTTCCATAAATAAAATCAAAGTAGAGCTCAAACACTACCAATAACAAGCTAATCGAAGGCATGCACCTGAAAAGAGCGTGCCGTCTTCTTAGAAGCTCCGAGGTAGAAGGCAACAAGTGAGCCAAAAGTGTTGACCGGAGAGAAGAGGGTGTTGTTCCGTTTTCTGCTGAGGGCCTGGTACATCCTCAGACCCAAAGGATTCAGCAGGCCAACCAGGACTGGCGTCCTCTCTGGCGTGTTCTGCTTCTGTGCATCCAGACTTGACCGGTCCCTGCTGTCAGGGGTCAAAACTTCAACATCAAGGGGCTCCACTGTGACGGTTTCGAGAGGCTTCACAGCTGAGCCTTGCAGAGTCTCACAGCTGACATTGTCAACCGCAAACAGGTGGAAGGGGTGAATGTAGACGCGGTTGGTTTGGCTTCCGGAGATCCAGTAACACACCAGGGCCGCTAGAAGAAGTGGTTGTAGCTTCTGCATTTTACCTTTTGTTGCTAAGATGATTTTCTCTCTGTGGGTAAACAAAGATACATTATTCAGTTTTACAAGTAACTTATTGTTTTTATTTCATGAACCACCGTCTCAGAACATTGAGGTTTGAGGTTATCTCTGACGGCCACAGGATCATAAAAACAACTTTCATCACTAATCAGGTTGACTCTGGTTTTGGTTCTCTGTGAGGTCAGCTGGCAAGAGTGGCTCGCTGATTGCAGGCAGAGATAATATGCACCCCCCCACCCCACACACACACACCCACCCACACACCCACACACACACACACACACACACGCACACACGCACACACACACACACACACACACACACACACACACACACACACACACACACACACACACACACACACACACACACACACACACGCACACACCCACACACCCACACACACCCACACACACATCCTCGGACTTTTTGTGTTAGAGCTTTCAGACTGTCTGCAGTGTTCTCAAAAACGTTTAGAGTAATGAAAGTGATTGAAAGTGATGCACATTTTCAGACAGAAAACCTCCCCAGCGTGTTCTCCACTTCTCATCCTTTGACTATAAGAAACCTGTTGTTAAAAGACAAAAATCCAACTTTGTGGATGAGTGAAGTTGACAGTAGGGTTCAGGATGACCGTCCAAATGCCCCAATCTTAACCCTGTTAAAATGTGTTGACTGACCTTAAAATCTGTATCCATGTCAGGAAGACAACCAATTTAAAACATCCTTACAGTTCTTACAAAAAAAAGAGTGGTAAACTATCCAGCCAGAATAAAATTTGTATGTGTGGACTGATGGATTCGTGGGATTTAAGCAAACATATGACCTGTTATGCAGCACAGTCCACGGCCTTGGTTTCTGATCAATACATCCGGCGACTAAATGTTTGTATATTATTGAGAAAACTCCTGAGCTGCAGTGACTTCTGTCAAAATAACGACAGATGATCTTTATCGTCTGTCCCAAAGGTGACAGAAATTCTTCTTTAATAGAAAACAGACTGCTGAATTTTAGCAATTCTTTAAAATGTGGTTCTGACTGTTTATTTTGAACTGCACCATCAAATGAAACTCTGTTACCAAGTTGACATTTGTAAATGCAAAGATTTCCCGTAATTTTTCAGCTTTCCAATGCGCTTCTTTAGTTCATCTCAAAACGTCAAAACTGACTCTTACCTTGTGTGTCTGCAGTGACTGAGTGAGGTTCAGAATGAGGATCCCAGACCTCTGCTCCTTTACTTAAGTCCAGCTGGTCAGTAGCAGTGGTTACTCATTAACTCAAGATAAACTGAGTCAGGGGCTTTACTGAGTCACAGTTCGCCTTGTTCTGATGAACAACTGCTATAGATTAATGGTGTGTTTTGACAAAAAGGGGAAATAGAGGAAGGGGGTAAAGAAAAGCTTGACTTCCATAAAAGTACAGCAGGAAGTTTAAAAACCTCTGATCTTGTGTGTATTTTCTTTCTCTTCCTCATATTCCCCGACTGAAAAGTTGGCATACAGAAGAAATGTTTATTTCCGGAAAGATTGTGGTGATTTTCCTCAGCACAGGGGTCAAGCAAACGAGTCGACAAGTCATATTAACGTCAAAGTGTTGACCAAACAATGACCAAAAGTGAAAACGAACCAGATTTCCTTAAACATGGCCATGTTTTTGTTTCCATTATGAAAAATAATGATTGAGGTTGTGATGAATCAAGGTTTCCTTTCTGGTAGGTGTTGTTCTCATCTGTGGTTTTTAATGTTTTGGACTGGCTGCGTTATGCTTCATATTCTTGTGAAACATTACAGCTTCAGCCTGTGTCATATACTTTTAGTTAATACAAGTACATTTAGGACAATAAAGTTTCCAAGGAAGAGTTTGTTGCAACGTACAAACATTGTAGAAGCAGATCATTGTTTTACCATTTTGCGAAAGTCCTGGGAAGAAAGTTAATAATGGCCATGTGTTCCGCTTTGTACTTTGTTACACAAAGCTAAGCTATATTGTGCTGTTAGAGACGTCATCACCAGAGTTTGGTGGAAAACCTGCACCTGATTCAACAAGGCCAGTTTTATTTCCCCATAAAGAAGTGAAACATCATCCTGTCTGCTGGCTACTGACTGATATAATGAGTACAGGCATCACAAAAAGAAATAAAAAAATGAAGAATTCTTTGATTTTCTTTTTACTTCCTCTGAAACTGACAACAAGGTGTTGAAATCTTATTAATGAATTAACTGCTTGGGTGAGATATTACTGTTTCCAAACAAAATGTTTGGAAACTATGAAAGAACATATCTAAGTCAGATAAATACCTTCAAATATGTAAATGTGTTATCATCAGACTGTATCTAAATAAAGCGTATTAGGGTCCATATAAATCCGCTTTTAAGCTGTCTATAATTCATTTAATATATTTTTATCCCTTTAGACATTTATGCTAGAAATGGTATTTCCATTCTTATTCACTGTTGCTAATTTATGACTATCATCTGCTCATTTTTAAGGGTTTATAAACCACACATCAATCATCATTTATTACATTTAGTCAACTGTGTGTTTCTCATACGTATGTGTTACTGGGTGATATTTCACTCCAACATTTTGGTGACGTCAGAAGCTTTATGGGTGCAGTAATCAGTCAGTTGTTAAGCATATAAGCAGCAGAGATCAGGAGATGAAGCAGATGGAGAGTTTTGGAAACAAATTCACCATGAGAGCTCTCGTGTTTCTCTGCAGTGTGCTCATCACGCAAGGAGTGCAAGGTACCATTCTGTTTAATTCAATAACCTTAAACATATAGAACATCAGTTCCTACTTCTGTTAAGAAATTTGCATACCTTAAAAAATGAGTAAATCCAAGCAATATTATTTTGGGGATTATTAACCTTACTTCAACTAACTCAAAATGTTTTCAAATCTTCCAGGTTGGTGGACAACGGAAGGTAATTGAGCACCATTTAGTGTAAATCCAAACAAAATATTTTCAGATTGTTTTTTATCTCAACTAACACAAAATGCTTTAAAATCCTCCAGATTTCCTTCAGACCACTACACCAATGGATTACACAGGTTACAAGGTTCAGATTACTTAGATTAAAAATATTTCCACTGTTGGTTTCATTATTTCTATTTTTTCTAGGAATCAACTGCGATGGCTACCTTTACAACAACAATGGCACTTTTCAAAGCCCCAACTATCCGTCTAATTATCCAAACAATGCAAAATGTACATGGTACATTAGGCCCAGTTTATCTGGTCATAGTATTCGTTTGGAGCTGGTTAATTTACGGTAAGTGAATACTCTGTATATGCAAGATTGTAGCAATTTTTAACTGGATTTGCTTTATTTTTAATTTGCCATACTGTCTGTTTGGTCTCAGCGCTGAGTGTAGTTTTGACTGGTTTGACATCTATGATGGCTATGATACCAATAGCAGAAGGGTGAGACAACTCTGCAGCGCAAATTCCTTTGTCTACCACTCCACTGGCAGATACTTAACCATCCACTTTAGCAGTGATTCTAGTGTCACCGGGCAAGGATTTCTTGCAAGCTACAAAGTCGTAGGTAGGTCTCTGTGGTTAAAGAAATAAAAACAAATCATGTCATTTTAACAAAAACTCTTGTTTGTTTTCTAAAGCTGAAGGTTCCTGTAAGTACAACTGTGGCTACCAGGTTGGAAATTGCTCTTGCCAATATGACTGTGAATACAGAGGGACTTGCTGTGCAGACTATGCAAGTAAGCAGTGATGCATTCTCACAAAATAGATTTGTGGGGAGTTTTGCCTTTCATAAATAAAAATTACAACTGTTCATTAATTTTTCAAGCCAAATTATTTTTGAGGAAACTCCCACATTTCTATACAGTAAATTATTGGTAAAATGGAGTCTAATTGTAACGACAATTCATTTTCAGTGACTTTCTTTTTTTTGCAGCACGCTGTGGATCCTCCAACACATCACCCTATCCCTATCCCACCACATGTAAGACAGCATCATCAGAGCCTTTAATAGAATTTAACAAATTTATTAGAGATTACGATGAATGGACATAACAAAATCAAGCAAAGCATAATTCCTTTCACCTTTTCTTTACATTTTGTCACATTATAACTGCAACCTGGATGTATTTTATTTTGATCGTATAGCATAGAAAAATATAAAGTTGAGGATATCTAATTACTTTTCACAAAATAAAAATTAAATGCGTCCATTCACTTTCCTGAACAACGTGCAAATAAGAACCTGTTACACTCTTTTTACATATAATTACAATAGTTGCAAAACGGTAAACTCACCAAGACGTTCAAGCCTTTGCATGTACCAAGAGACATGTAGAGACATCTACATGTACAGAGAGCTGCAGATGTGACTGCACTTCTGAAAGATGTTTACAAATCAGGTTGGATTTTCCTTTTTGTTAAACAAAATAAAAGCTAATATTTACCTGTCCAAAAGTTCTACCAATACATTTTTGTGGGTTTAACATGAAAATAATGTGTAAAAAGTTGAAGACATGAATATTTTTGTAGGTCTCTGCATCCACTGAAGGTTGGAAGAAACTTGCAAATATATTTGTGAATTACTTGCTCACTTTCTCTCTGACTTGTTCAACAGCTCAACCTTCTTGTCGATACAACTGTGGATACAACATGGGAAGCTGCTCCTGCTCCAGTTCCTGCCAGTGGAATGGAAACTGCTGTCATGACTTCTACTGTGAGTGCAACCTCAACAGGTTGTTGGTTGATAGTGCTCATAAAAGCTTGTCTAAACACTGCTGCAAAAAGTTTGTGCAATTTTTCCTTTTTTTTTATTTGCAGCACAATGTGGATACATCTACAGCACCACTTATCCTGTGACATGTAAGACAACATCCTCAGAGATTTTAATAGAATTTAACAGATTTATTAAAAATTACGATTAATAGACAAACAAAAAACAAGCAGTTTCTTTTAAAAGAATTTATACTCCTTAAACTTTTCTTTACATTTTGTCACATAATAACTGCAACCTTGTATTTTATTTTGATTGCATAGCATAGAAAAATATAAAGTTGAGGATATCTAATTATTTTCCACAAAATAAAAACTAAATCTGTCCATTCACTTTCCTGAACAACATGCAAAAAAGTTGTTTTTACACGCTTTCTATATATATTTACAATAGTTGCAAAGAGATAAACTCACAAAGACATTCAAACCTCTACATGTACAGAGACACAAACATCGAAGACTTAAAACTGTAGCTGAACTTCTTAAAGATGTTTACCACTTAAGGTGGAAAACAAATGCATTTTACTTTCCATTAATCAAATTGAATGTTATCATTTACCTTTCCCCAAAATTCTAACTAAACCAATAGATCTTTCTGGGTTTAGCATGAAAATAATGTGTAAAAAGTTGAAGACATGAATATTTTTGTAGCTCTCTGTATGCACTGAAGGTTGGAAGAAACTTGCAGATACATTTGTGAATTACTTGCTCACTTTCTCTCTGACCTGTTCAACAGCTCAACCTTCTTGTCGATACAACTGTGGATACAACATGGGAAGCTGCTCCTGCTCCAGTTCCTGCCAGTGGAATGGAAACTGCTGTCATGACTACTACTGTGAGTGCAACCTCAACAGGTTGTTAGTTGATAGTGCTCATAAAAGCTCATCAAAACATTGCTGCAAAAAATTGTGCAATTTCATTCTTTCTCTTGCAGCATACTGTGGATCCTCACCCACAACCAGCTATCCTGAACCCACCTCACGTAAGACAACATCAGCGCCTTTAACAGAATAAAATGAATACATTTCCTCCAATTTTTTAAACATTCATTTTTTTAGACATTACAATAAATGGCAAAGATTAGGGATGCAGACACCTCTACTGTTCCTTTTAAAAGTATTTTATCCCTTGAACGTTTTGTGTTACAAGTTGAAGATGTGAATATTTTTGTAGGTCTATGTATGCACTGAAGGTTGGGAGAAACTTGCAGATACATTTACTTGCTCACTTTCTCTCTGACTTGTTCAACAGCTCAACCTTCTTGTCGATACAACTGTGGATACAACATGGGAAGCTGCTCCTGCTCCAGTTCCTGCCAGTGGAATGGAAACTGCTGTCATGACTACTACTGTGAGTGCAACCTCAACAGGTTGTTGGTTGACAGTGTTCAAAAAAGCTCGTCTAAACTCTGCTGCAAAAAGTTTGTCCAATTTCATTCTTTCTCTTGCAGCATACTGTGGATCCTCACCCACAACCATCTATCCCGAACCCACCTCATGTAAGACAACATCAGAGCCTTTAAAAGAAGAAAATGAATACATTCCCTCCAATTTTTTAAACATTACAATCAGTGAACATGGCAACGATTTGTAAAGCAGACACCTCTACTTTTCACTTTGAAAGTATTTTATCCCTTCAACGTTTTGTGTAAAAAATGAAAGACATGAATATTTTTGCAGGTCTCTGCATCCACTGAAGGTTGGGAGAAACTTGCAGATACAACATTTGTGAATTACTTGCTCACTTTCTCTCTGACCTGTTCAACAGCTCAACCTTCTTGTCGATACAACTGTGGATACAACATTGGAAGCTGCTCCTGCTCCAGTTCCTGCCAGTGGAATGGAAACTGCTGTCATGACTACTACTGTAAGCACAAATTTGTCAACATCAACTGGATCTGCATTCATCATGAGACATGCTTTGATTATGCTAAGTCTGTTGTGAAAAATATGAGGAAAAAAAAAAACAAAAAAACGATTTATTTTCTGATTTATGCAGCTTATTGTGGAACCTCCCCTGAAGTCCCCACCACAGGTAAAACGTGTTTTCTCTAGATCTATTTTAAAGGGACATGTTGAACACAATAATAGAACTCGTTTCTGGAGGAGATAGGTAAAGATAATACAAAATTTTGAAGAATTGTGATTAAATATTAATTTAATACAGTCTTTTTACATCATTCTGACTCACCGCAAATGTAAAACTATCCTAATAAATAATAATAAAAAAGAAACATCAATGAGATCTTATTCTCCTCAATCAGGGCCATGCGGAGGCTCCCTGTTTGGCTCTGGTACCATTTCAAGCCCCAACCACCCCGACTACTACAACGACAACTCCTACTGTGTGTGGCAGCTCAGAGCTGCATACGACCAAAGGATCTTCTTGGCATTTTCTTACCTGCAGTGAGTAGAAACAGTCAAATCCAGTCATGTTTCAAGAATGGAAAATATTGTAGGATTTGGTTTTTCATTTCTACAAATCTTTTTCAAAACGTGTTCACATTTTCTTGCCGCTTCTACAAACAGATTGGAGAACTGTTGCAACTGTGACTACATTTCTATCTACGATGGACCGTACACTTACTCACCATATTTGGGGAAAGTGTGCAACAACACTCTGAGCACTTTCTACTCCTCCTCCAACTACATGACAGTGATCTTCCGGACAGACGGCTCTGTGGTTGGCCGGGGATTCAGAGCTGAGTTCATGAGCTCTCTGAAGCCCAGCTCCGGTACGCCTGGGTTTCCATGTTTATATATTTTAGTTGTAAATTCTACGTGAGGCAATTGTTGAACTGGTCAAGTCAGGATTTACATTTTTATTCTGAGGACCTTTCTTTTCAACATCAGTCACACCAGAAAAAGTTGTTTCACCAGGAGTTATGAATAAATGTACTAATATTTAATTGCAAACTATCCGGTTGGTGGACTCAAGAGTCAGCAGGAGACTGAAGTTTAATTTTTGGTAATTCAAATGATTGCTACCAAACCATTGGTATCCAGCTCCAGCAAATGAAATACTTTAGCTTATTGCTAAATAAGTTAAAGGGAATAAATGTTACAGTAAAATAGTTTACGTGTTCTTAATAAAAATTCAGTTTTTGTGTCACAGGACTAAATTTTTGGCCCGTCACAAATGTTTGGACCCCTTTGGTCGACCACATAAGATTCCAAAAACATGCATAAATGTTTGTGACCCACCGTGCAAAAAGAAGCATGGTTACTTTCCTATGGAATTTTAGGGAACAATTATCTATTTGTTTATTAAATACTGAACATATTTCTCTTTCAGGTCGTGTTGACTGTTCCTCAGACAACATGAACATCGTTATCAACCGAGCCTACCTGAACTCTCTGGGCTACGACGGACACAGTTTGTACCTGGACGATGAAAACTGCAAACCACAGATTTCCAGCTACGAGGTGACCTTCAGTTTCCCTCTCTACGCTTGTGGAACCGTCAAACACGTAAGCGACTCACAGCATTCTCGAAAAATATGAATACTATTTGATCATTTTCCAGCATTGTTCTTTAAAGTTCGCCAATTCTCGAGAGACCAGATTCTCATGTCCCAAAACCTTCCTCAATAAACAGTTCAACAGCGGCAGAGTTGTGTACACCAACAACATCCGCGGATTTCCCTCGTCGCAAGGAGAGATTGTGCGTCAGTCTTACCTGAAGATGAACGTCAACTGCACCATGGAGGAGGATTCCATGTCCCAGATTATGTTTGTTGTGGGAAACGGGGGTAACAGCAGCATTGCTGGTTCAGGGCATTACAACACCAGCATGGCTTTCTACACGTCCAGCAGCTTCTCCTATAAGGTAATGTTTGGCCATGAAGATGAGACCGTGGGAAGTTTCTTTTGGAAACGGTACGATGCTGATATTTCGCTGTCTTCTGTTCAGGTAACTAATGTCCCATATCAGGTTGCTCTCAACCAGGACTTGTATGTTCAAGTGGACTTGAGTAGGCATGACAGTAACCTTGTCCTATTCCTGGACACCTGCGTGGCCGCCCCATCGCCCTTTGATTTCGAAACCAGACCTTATTACTTAGTGCGAAACGGGTAAAACAACAACATGCAGCTCACTAAAGTTGCCTCTTTCTGCTTTTGTGTTTTTGCTAAAAAGAGATTTTTTTTTCTGTTTTTACTTCCAGGTGTACTGTTGACAGCACGTATCGCCCCATCTCTTCTGGCAGCTGGTACAGGGCCCGTTTCACATTCAAGGCCTTCATGTTCCTGCGAGGCACAGAGTCTGTGTACCTCCAGTGCAAAGTCCTGATCTGTCCCAGCTCGGAGAGCAACTCCCGCTGCCGCCGTGGATGCAGCAGGCGTAGGGCCCGGGAGCTGGAGCCCAAACACGAGAGCCAAACTCTGGTCATGGGTCCCATTCAGCTCAAAAGTAAGAATGTATCACAATTGATTCCATGCAGTGCCTAGAATACCAACAGAAGCCCAAAGAAATGTTGGGACTTGATGAGAAAAAAATTAAAGTTGAGCATTTTTCTATTTGGCAGAAGCTGAAGAAGAGAAGAAAGAGCCTGAAGAGCAGAACGAGGCTTAAGTTGTTTCTGCGAAAACCTCATCCAATCACTTCTGTATTCCTTTAAATGAAATCCTTGATTCTACTCAAACTTTCTTGTCTTTCTCTCTCATTATCTGATTAAATGCATTATTGAAAGAAAAGCTTTGTGCCTCATTGAGTCAAGCTCTTAACTAAAGTGAATTTTCTTTCAGTAAAAAACAAATTAAAAATGCAACATTCATCATCTTTCCTTTATCCAAATTTGATTTGCCGTAGTAAAAGCTATAACAGGAACCCAGATATCCCCTTCCTGCTCTTTCTGGCCAAATCTAAGATGTTTCTAGATGAGAAAATATGGAGACTTCTTGTGAGTTGTGAGCCTGCTGCAAGGTCTCCTCTGAGTGGAAAGTTCTCAAACTCCAAGACACTCAGGAGGGATCCTGGTAAGACGCTGGAACCTTGTTGACTTGTTTTGATGCGCAAAACTTAATTATCTGTCAATGATTCTTTCCTCAAGCCCATAGCTGACAGCAGAAATGTATAGTATATTTCAATCTTAACTTTTTAGCTTTGCTTCTTCTTCATCATGTCGTAAATACTTCAGATGAACCTACCATTATTTTATTCATCTCTTACAGTCCATCTTAACATACAAGCAGAACATCACAACACAGACTCTATACTCACCAACTTCCTACCTCTGACTGTTAGATCAGCAGAATCTGTGGCTTCCTTTAAAGGCCAGCTAAAAACTAAGCTTTTTCTAATTCAGCTTTTGCTTAAATTTGTATTGTGTTTGCCATTTTGTTTCGAGAAGGACTTTGTGATTTTTATCTTGAAAAGTGCGATATCTGACGCACCGCTCCTCCTGACCCCAAGATTTGACAACCGGTCAGACCTTCACTTCCAAAATCCTATAAACGTCCCTCGTTTGTTCAAACAGACTTTCAGCACCCATTCTGGAAAAAGACAAAAAAAAAAAAAAAAAATAAGGAAAACCCCCAATCAGCCAAAAAACGAGGCAAAGTTCAAGTCAGTTAGAAAACACTTTACTTATAAATTAGTAATCCATATCACAAGAAACTCTTCTGACATCTCAGCTCAGGGAGATGGTCATAAGTTTGACATTCATGAATCTACGACAGACAGAGAACATAAGGCAGCCTTTTACTGAATGTCTCCATTAAGTTTGGGAACAATAACAAGGCGGTGCTTCTAAAAACAGCAACTACACCCTCTACTTGTGTCGGTAAGCAACAGACAACAGTTCCCAAGACAAAGGACAACCTTGCTGAAGTCTTACAGCCAACACAGTTAAACATTTTTTTTGTTTTACATGGAACATCTATCCAACCATTCAGAATATAATACTCAATAAATATTCAATGTAAAAAGCACTGGGATACTTATATTTAATGAACGATTTCATTGAGAACTACCAAAGGCTAGATCGTGCTACGTGGCAATCCTGAAACAGTGTTCGTATGAGACACAAGTTTGATTTTGTATTTAAATACGGAGACACTTGTTACAAAAGGACGTCATACACTGTCAAAATAGTCAAGACAATAACATGATGGAGAAAAAATAATTATTAACAACTTAAAAGGAACAAGTTAATCACGGCATCATGATGGAGGAACCTTAAAACACTTCCTGACCAAAAGCCATCTTCTCCAAGCTTTGGCCAGGTTTCACTGCTGATGCCACTTTCTTGTTCCAGACAGAGCTGGCATAAACTCTTAGGTTAGTTAGCAGCATTCATGGAGAAGAAATTTTGGCCAGTAAAATGTTGAGAAATACAATCACGGCAACCACAATCAAACTGCAACAACTGACTCTTCTGTTATCCATAAGGTTCTGGGTCAAGCTGCTATAATAAGAACAGGAAATAGTATTGTCAAATGACAGTCGTCTCAAACTTTTGACACAAAAAAGGTGACAATGTCAGGCACTGCAAAGAAATTGTAGTAATGCACCAAGCACAGAAATAATTTCAACAAGGCTTCAATAAGGCCAACAGTAAATATCTGAGAAATGAGTAAAGTTACTTTGGGTGTGTTGAGAATTTATTTTTGTGGTTCTGTCAACGATGTAAAAAATATAAAACCGGATCGGCCGATTTGTTCAGTGCCAAGTCAGATGTTTACAAGCACTAAACACAGGCATCAACCTCAAATTGTTTCTAAGGCAGTTAATGGTTTAGCTGAACAGTTTTGTTTTCCTCAAGGTGGAATGATTACAAAATGACAGTAAATAAAAAAAAAAAAGGTTTTAGTGTACTGTAGTGTTTTCTAATACAAATAATGTCAAAATGTGATGAATATGCTGCAGCAAGTTGATGCACTTTTTGCAGTCATGGCCATGCTTTCTTTTGGTCCAGTCCTGGCTGAAAAATTGACAATTTTCTTTCTGAATTACAAAAGTTAATTTATCTTTAAGCAAATTTCAAACTGGCTGAGACAGGAGCTATCGGCAATGCTGACTTAGCTCAGACACTTAAAATTTTGACAAATTGTTGTTATTTCAACAATATGATAATCTTAAATACTCCATAAAAAATGGTTTTGGAATCTCTAAAACATGTTTCTTCTGGATAGATGTCCAAAGGTAAAAGCTCAACTCTAAATTTGTGGACAATCTTTTAAAGCAGCATTCAAACCAGAAATCCAGTAAAGGACATTAAAATACATATTATTTGGAGTGTGTTTATATATGAGACAGTAAATGTAACAGTGTACACCCAACTTGTGTTTCTGAAGTTCACTAAGGTTTTAAGTTTTACAATAAATCCGTTTTGGAGAAGAGTTCAAATGAATCATTAAACACCCAAAATCAAAGACATTGATACATACAAAGCAGAGTGCATGTAAACCTCTGATGGGCACTGAGCTTTTCCAAAAAAAGAAAAGGTGTTGAGAGCAAATTTAAAAATATAAGCTGGAAAACTCATGTTGCTCTAATAAACACAGGTGACTTTCAACTTGATGTAATTTTCTGTCCACAAATTAATTAAAACTTTGTTTGTTTAAAATTCAACATAGAAAACTGATTCAATATTTAGGGAAAAAAAAACATCCATATATGTATATTTGAGTCAAATCCAGTGCATTCCAAGTAAATAAACCATATAGGGAAATGGATCCAGAATACATATGACTTCTACCACCACCGCAAATAAATTCTTGACATGTCAAAAACACTGACTATTCCTTTGTGATACACTAGAACGGGGCACCATTAGGTATGCCTAAAAGATTATGTTCTGAATGCCAACGTTGCCCTGTGCAAGTATAACTTTAAAAGCCTATGCTACATACAGGCCAAGTGAAAAGACCAATAAATAAAATTCCTAGTAAGTAAAAACAAGTGGTGTGCTAAAATAGTTCTCAAGAGTTTTTTTTCCTGTTCTTCGATCACTTGTGCTGCCCCCGAGCAAAGTGGCAGGCAAAGTCATACTTGCTTTTGCACTTGTGGCCACAGATGTTGCACTGGAATGGGTTCTCGTAGCCGTGGCACCCCATGTGGATGGTGTAGAGGATGTTGTCGGGGAAGTAGATATCACAGTGTTGGCAGTGATGCAGCATGTGGGGGTCCTGAACGGGGGCGGACTGGCCCGGGGCCGGGGTGCTGGGCTGGCTGTTGGATATGCTCGGGGTGCTGGTGCGCCCGCTGTGCTCGCTGCACGGTCCACCTGTGGGACTGCAGTTACTGTGTGGAGGGGCGCGGGGCTCTGGGGTGATCGGGGAAGAGGACGCGGCGCGAGTCATGCTGGCCGTGACGGCAACAGGAGCGGTGGCGGGGTGCGGCTGCTGGATGAGGAAGGGCTTTTCGTCAACTACGGACTCTGCTCCTGGAGACATTGGAGCCTGGGTCTGGGCCTGGGCTTCTGGTGGAAGGCTGGCCAGCTGGCCTGCCAGGGTGGACAACTGGTTCAGAGGGTTTTCCATCACCATCTCATGGTGGTGGTGGTGGTGGTTTGGGTCAGAGGAGAGCCCGTCCTCCGCCGCCCGGCTCTGGTTATCGAAGGTTTCTTGACGCAAGTGGGGCAGCTCGTGGGAGAAGTCATTCACCCCGTCAGCTTTGTGCACCACCATCGACGGGGGGCTGAAATTGATGAGGAGACGTCGACCGTAGGCAAGAGAGCTGGCCTTCTTCTGCAGGACACTCAGCATCTTCTTATGGGACAGGGAGCGAGCACCTTTCATTGGCAGGAGTTTGTGGCGTCTGCGGCGGTGATGCGACAGGTTGCTGCGGTCGCTGCAGCGGAACGAGCAGAGCTCACATTTGTAAGGCTTCTCACCCGTGTGAGAGCGCATGTGAGCTTCCAGGTGGCGCTCATAGGCGGAGGCAAATGGGCACAGGTGGCAGCGGTGAGGCTTCTCTCCTATTTGTCAGAAAACATTTAACTAAACGCGAATAGCAACAAAGGACCAACATTTGTCTGCAAATATTTTCATGTCACATAAATCACTGTGATTTGAGGAATGAACTCTAAAAACATACCTGTGTGAATGCGGATGTGTTCAATGAGTCGGGCTGTTCCTCTTGTGGCATAGTTGCAGTAGCGGCACTTGAGTTTTCCATCGTAGGTCCTCTCGAAACCATCCACCAGGATCCCTGAGCTGTCCTCCAGGGATATGTCCACCGAAGGATGTTCCAGGCCATTCTGGCTGCATTCTGCGACCAAAATGTGTTGCACAAAAACTAAATGAAGCATCATACAAATTTTTTTGTTTGATATGTCTTTGTAAAACATGGGTTTACCAACTGATTAAAACCTGCAAATCCTAAAGGTAATAGAATGCACTGTATTTTGTTTAGTGGTTTCAAAGAAAAGGTGTATGAATAAAAGCAGAGACTCACATTTGAGTTAATTTACAAAGAAAAACTCCTCAACATCACAGTGATATTTAATTTCCCTGTGGGATTTAAAAATTATCTCTGAAATCATTTGAGCTGAATTGCTCTTCACACTACTGTGTGAGGGTGCTTAGCATTAAATCACAGTAAAATGCATTGACGTTTCTGGCTGTAACATAATAATGAGATTTGAAAACGTTAAAAGGATATAAATACTTTATTTGAGGTTCTCTGCACACAGAACTGCATTATAAAATCAAATAAAAAAAAAATTATAATCCCAAAGGGAAATTAAATAACCACTTAAACAGAACCAAGACATATTCTCATGTTCAAAAGAAACAAACTAAAAATAAATAATACTCAGTATTTCTTGGGAGTAACACGTAAAAGATAGTTGTTTTGTTGACTCACAATGTTGACTAAATTGTATGGTGGCCTAGAAGGTTTTACAAAATGTAAAAGCCACAATGCAATCTATGTTCAGATACAGTAGCATGCTTTTCTTAACTTCTGTATTAAATTCCTTTGTGGCTTTTTTTTTTTTTTTGCTGTTGCTATGTTGCTTTGGCATTTTGTTGAACCTTCTGAGCCACCGTATAAAGGTGATTAACATTTAGAACACATTGATGCTGAAACTGCCAAGTATATTCCTGCTGCTTGCTGGGGACATCCATAAAGCCACAAGACTGAACAACACATGTAAACACATGAGAAATACGTCACCTGCCGGCAGCTCGTCCACCTCCTTGACCCCGCTCACAGAGCCTGAGATCATGTTGACATGTTGAGTCTGCTGGCTGAGATACTCCTGGAAATCCTTCACAAAGTCCAGCGTGTCCGGCTTTTCCTCCCCCATTGGAAGAAAGTGACGGAGGTTCAACTCACTGCTTAACAACATCACATATTTGGACACGTATCAGTGAGGACAACCGGAACGGGACAACACTGACGCGATTAAAACAAACAACAAATAACCAAAACATCTGGGCAGGTACATGTACATCGCTGTTTTGTAATCTCCACATTTGTATTTAATGTCATCTAGTTGAATTGTACAGCATACCAACCTCCAAAGATTAAAAACAGCCCGACGATTTCTTTATAATAAAAACAAAACAAACAAAAAAAAATGGTGTTAAGTCTTGTTTACTGGCTAGCCAGACACAAAGACAGAAAAACCCTGGAGAACAATGATTGACAAGCAGGAAATCAGCGCGATCCAATGTCTGGTCAGTGTTTTCTACACGCAGCTCCTCCTCATCATCGTTAGCATCACCATCATCGTCATGTTTGCTACCGAAACCGTGTTAGCCGGCTAGCTAATGTTAGCTCCGTTAGTGAAAATCATCTTTTTGTTTGAAAGATTCCACCTAAAATAAGACAAAGACTCAAGAGTTTACATTAGGGAGAATGTTCCTATATGCCAAAATCACTTACATCGCTCACAATTGTGAGAACAACAGCAAGTATTTCCCAGGGAAGCTAGCGGGCTAAATCAAAACAATTATCCTGTTAAAGTCCATGTTGCGCCTGCAAAAACCGTCCCCTAAAACCGCAACATCTAAACAAAGGTTCCCACCAGGAATGTAGCGGCAGCAAATTCTATTTTTTTCTTTTATTTATTTTTATTTTGTCAGCGACTGTTTTCGTCTCTTATACTTTTCTTGCACTCAGTAAAAGGTCCAAAAGACAGCATTTTTGATTTATTTGAAATTTTTTAAAATGTGCAGATTCAATCTAGTCCTTTTCACAGACTTGTTCTTTTATGTTTTTCTGAAATTGATGCAAGTTATCTCACAAGTGGCAGAAAATGTAATATATATCATAGAAAAAAATCATAGGAAACTGGCGAAGGATGTGTGAGTCACCCCATTTGATTTAGTTGCGCTAGAGATGTTGAAAAAAAAATGCATCATAAAATTTACTAGGGAATGTCAGACACTTTCCCTGGTAAAGTCATACTCTATAAGCCCGTTGTGTCGTCACATATTTTTTGTAGCATAGATCATTTTCGTCTTTGAAGGTCAAGTAGCATTGTTGCAGTTGCCCAGCACCAACCATTGTCTTCTGCTTGTCTGGTGGGACATACAGCCCTCAACTCAACAACACTCTCCAGCTCACTGTGAGATCAGTGCGTTACCTGGCCAGAAGAAATAGATCATCCCAAGAAAGATATGGTTCTGCGTTCACCTAGCAGATGGGGTGGAGCAAGAGCTCCACGCCATCAAAAAGTCTACTCAGAGTTAAGAGTAGACTCAACTCTTCGTGGATCACAGTGTTCGTCTGCTCAAGTGTAAGGCCAAGTCCACTCACCCTAAGATGAATGAAGATCATTTCTGCTGCTTTCTGCCAGAGACCTTGTAAATCAAGAGTCTTTTGGCTCAGATCTTTAATCATGGCAACAAATCAAAGCAGCATCCACATTACTGTGGGGCCAACCCATCTATTTATTTCCTGCTCTGCCCCACCTTCACTTGTGAGCAGGACACCAAGAAACATGAAACCTCCACTTGAGGAAGCGATTGACCTCGATGTAAGAAACAAGGCCTTAGACTTAGGGGAGACAACTCTCATCCCTGCCTGCCAACTGGTCGAGGTGCACCCTAAGTCATGGTCAAAAGACACCAACAGAACCCATGAACCACAAAAGGCAAAGATACGAGCCCTTCATTGCTCTGATGGCGGAGAGGAGTTGACAATGGAAAAAGCTATTTCTTCTGACCTTGGTGTCACAAAAGAGGCAAACAGTTTGTTAACAGGTGCAGGGCTGCTGGGTCGACAGATACTAGCTTAGAAAAAAAATTGAAATATAAATTAGACGAGTAGATAAAATGGCAGCATCTACCATTTTGTTCATTTTTAATTTGTATATGGCATCAGTATTACCGTCCAGTGCAGTGTTTGACATATATCACTACCTTTGACAACCTTAGGTCCATGTTGACACATCTGGGTTATACATTTTAAATAGTTTTTACATCATCCACATATTGGACTGTTCAAACTCATAAGAAAATATTCACAGAATGAGTTTCTCAATGTAGTATCACCAGTCACCAAGGTGATCTATAAGGAGAAAGACAACCAAGAAAGAGTTCTGCATTCAGTGATGGTCTGCACTTTACATTCAGTAATATTCTGTAAAAAGCATCAGAGAACATCACAGATTAAATTACTCCTAGGTGACGTAGTTACAGATTTGGTTCCACTGGATATTACTAAGAAGTGTTTAATTAAATAGGGTTTTTGACTTTGATAAAAAGAGTGAAACATCTATCTTTTAAAATCTTTCATCTAGTTTTTTTTGTGCTCTGTCACCCAAAGACTCACCATGTCTCACTAAAATACTGTAAAGATTGTAGTTATGATAGGACAAACTGTGTAAAAGATCAACTAATATGCAAAATTATGCACGACCTGCTTACTTTATGTCAGTTAAGTGTCCTCTTTATATTGAAATATATACACAGGTAATTATTTCCTGATCCGTATCCTCTGTTCATTACCTCCAGTGTCATTTTTCACAGATAAGTGGAGGCACCCATCTCTTGTCACTAGCTGATGAAATTAACCGATAGCCTGTCATCCACGTACTATAAGACATGACTCACTTTCAGATGTACAGTTTGTAATTATACTCAAGTGTCAAATGAGGCACGGCAATCGCAATACGTCCAGAGGCCTCTGACAGATTCATTCAAATTTGATCACAATCAATAATTAACAAGTTAAGTGCACAGTGAAGATCATGTTGCCCCATTTGTGTCAAACTTGTAGGAAAACCACCGAGGAGAAGATGATAAACGGCCAATTAGATGGAGACTACTGTATCCTTTTACTCCTTAACAACTGCTACCGACTGAGAACGCGTGTCACAGCAGTAATGCAAACCTGCAGGCATCTTTACTTTGCAATATGAGCTGCTCATTTGGAGTTCATTTTTAGGTCCATCTACCTGTCTACCATCTGATCTTTACAGTAGGTTATTCTTATGTAAAATGAGTAGGATTTTTTTTTTTTTTTTTTTTTTTTTTACCATTTGAGCAACTCTTTGGAAAGCTCAAGTAGTTCCCAATCCTTCCTGGTACAGTAAAGAATTTGGACACCAGATGGCGCACTCGCACCAGTAGTGAAAACGGCTTCGCCCGCTCTGCTTGAATTAACACTTTGAGAAGCCAACATGAGTTGAGATTCCACTAATGAAAGACTGGATCTTGAACGTCTCATCGTTGCCCGAGATTCTGGAAGGTTCTTGCACCCGCGGAACCAAAAGGCCAGCCGACCTTCTCCGTTGAGCCTCTGCCACGAGAAGAGCCAGTTACATCACCCTGTAGCGGCCTGTCCTCACTAATGTTATTTTATTGCATTTTAATTATGCTCAGGTTTCTACCGAGGCCTGAACCTCCTGAATAATTTACAAGCAGCCATGGTGATTTGTGGGCACGAGAAGACAAAAGAGCACACTCCCCATCACAGTGGTCTAATTTGTTTCAATAGTTTTGTGGGTTTTTTTGTGTTTTTTGGTGTTTTTTTAAATCCCACCGCAGAAATTATTGAGCCACTAATCTTCGGTCGCATTTAAAAGTGTGAATCTCCAGAGATTTCAAAATCATTGTGCCCTCTTGACTAAAGGAATGATTTATTGCACCTAAAAATACTAAAGGGGAGCGTTGGGTCAAACTTAATTTTGCATTCATGACTTGTTCAATTCCAGATGCATTAAGCTGTTCCACTAAAGGGCAGCTGCTCCGCTAATGAGACTGGTAGCAGGTTATGCTCTTATTGCATCCAGTGTGTGACTCTTTGCAGTGCAGGTATGTAATTCCCCTCACCCCACATAAAATATGCCTTTGGAGTTATTAAAAAGTTTTCAAAAGGTTTGAAATTGAAAGCAGTTTCATAACTCACATCTCGTTACACAGTAATGTGGAATTCTTAGAAGGGATAGGCTTGATTTGGGTCCTTGGACTCGAGCCAGTTTAGGCGTCATGCCCTCACAAAATTGAACTGTGCAAAATGTGGAGGTTTTTGAACGCTATGGCTCTAATCCCAGGGCGTCTTCCACTTTGGGGTGCTAAACGCTCTTTCACAAAAAAGAGAGGTCAGCAAATCATGTCTCATTTGTGACCTGAAAGAGTTTTGTATGTTGTGTAAATACATGTAAATTCACCCCCACACACCCTCAATTTGGTTAAAACATATCACAGCAACATGAGCTTGTAGATTTTGTTGGAAAACCCATCGACAGCATACAACACATATGGACACATGTGGACTCATGCCTAGGGGAAGCTTAGATACAACACTTAACCTGAAAGTTATGTTTGCAGTTTGTAGGAGGGTGGATCTTCAGGAGAGCCATGGCCGCGATTCAAACTCAGGACCTTCTTGCCTGCAAGGTAATAGTGCTACAACGGCTTCACTGTACACTCCTGCTTGCAAAAGATTAATTTATTTTTCAAAAAATATCTATTTGGATCCCCAAAAGGCGTTTTTGCAGATTACTGCACAGGGAACCCCTCCTAAAACCTGCTCCTAGGTGTAAAACTTTGACACGCTGACATGATTTAAGCAAATTAATATATGTATCATTGTTATTATAACAATATACAACGTAGAACCAACCCAGGGACAACACCTGCCTTTGAGAGGCGTTATTCCCTTGCTCTGATTCACATTTAAAAGGCCTTTCTGGTAAGATTCCCTATTTCCCCTTAATCACTTGATTTAAAGCCCTCTTGTTGTTTAACACGACACTGGACAATTAATTTGCTCCTCCTTTCCCTGAAAGAAATTAGAATTTAATTTAAAGAAGGTCTTTAGCAGTTTTGTGAGACTCAGTGCCATTTGTTATGCTTGCGTAGAAAGCTGTCTCGGAGATCACCCTTCTGCAAAAGCTTTTTAATCCCAGACAAGTGCAGCCATAGTAACAGCAGACAGGAGCCTCTTGGAAGCAGACGGGTGAAGGGGAGGCTTGGAGATTTATTCTCCTTTGACTGCGACTGTTTCTTTTCTTGAGGTCTCCTGCTCCACGTGGAGAATTTGAAAAAGAACTGAGAGGTGGGGTGGGTAGGATAAAGGAGGTATATATTAAGCTTTTCTTTCCTCTCACCACTTAATTTCCTTGCAGGCGCGCCTTGCTCCGGTGTAATGAATGTAATTGCCGCCTTTGATGAGAATGCTATTATCTGAATCACACTTTACATGGGCAAACAAGACTTGGCCCTCCCTCCTCCTCCGCCTCCCATTTAACTCAGCAGTCAGACCCCCCAATTATGCAGAGAACAAGTGGCTTTTCATAAAACCAGCGTGTTGCTCTCGATTGGTGAGGCTCAGAGGCGGCTACATGTGGACAAAGGATAGATTAGATGTGATATAGGTGCACCAAAACCCCATTTCCTTGATTAATTTCCTGCATGGCTCATAGGAAAGGTTCTACTATTTCCCAGCTGAACTTAATCTTTCCTGTAAAGACGAAGGTTTTATCATTTGATAGATGTGTCAACTCGGTGGACGGAAAGACATCTTATTGGC